TGGTAGTGTAGAGGCACCAAGCTAAGCGAGATGTCATGCAAGTGCGCTGTAATCAAATTCGATACTTCTATGCATAGTTGTGGTGTTTTTTGCCAGCCAGTTGCTGGTTTTCTACTTACTTCTCAGCGTTTCCCATGAGTTAATTATTTAACCGATACGCCTTAAACGGAGACTAACAGTTAGCTCTTGGAATCTTTTGCACGTGTGACGTGTACGAAGTACTGCTGAAATTTCTTGGGCTTTATGTATTTATTTATGATTCACGTTGACAGCTTGAGCATTCTAACGCGGTTTCGGTTTGGCAGTCCAAAAACTCCAACACGCTGGTGGCCGCCACCCAGACGCGCCGCAAACAGCTGCAGGAGTCGATGAACAAGGCCCTGCGCGCCCAGGAAGAGCGCAACCAGCACGAACGCGAACGGGTCAAGGTCAGCATGCTGCCGGTGCTCAAGATGGCCGCCATCGAGCCCGTACCGCACCAAGTGGCCGACGAGCGTGAGGTTGAAGGTGCGCTGATGTTATTTTGTTTATCGTGACACTAATATTTTACTACGATAATTCTAATAACTATTACATTTATTTGCCGATTTATTTGAAATGCGTATACGGGTGTGAACGATTGTAGTGGACGAGAACGGGAAGATCGCTGACACCGGCACGGTGACCAGGCACACCCTCACCTCGCTACCGGTGTTCCCCACGGCGCTGGGCACGGCCATTCTGCAGCTGGTCGATCTGCTGGACGACGTCGGTGTCGACAATTGCGGCATTTTTGGTTAGTCGTTATTTGTATATTATGCTTCGCACAGGGTTTCTGTTAATCCTCGTTTCAGTTGAAGGACGAAGTTTGCGTTCATTCGTACTACAGTTACTGACCGAAGAAAATCTTGCTAACAGTTCTGTGGTAATTAAATTTCTTGAGATTTGTGACTGTTTTTGGCTAGTGTAAAACTGTGTATTATCGTTTAGCCGGTGCAACCAACATTTTTATACCGTTTTTTTAGCGTGTTTATAGTTAATGTAAGATTAAAACATAGTGGTTGGTTGTAATACTGTAATGATGAATTCGGCGATATGTTGCGAAAAACCTGGCTGTGGTCTAATACCATTTTTATATATAGTGTGCGATCTGGCCTTCCACACCATCTGGGAGGGTATCGTGGAGGATGCCGTGCTGTTTCTGCGCTATGTGTTGGAGAAGGTCAGCAGCAAGGAGAAGCAGGCGCTGATCCTGCGCAAGATCCGCAAACTACTGGCCTTCATGCCGCGTCTGCCGCCGCAGGCCGCCTGCACCATCTTCAATCATCTGGTACGTTCCACCCAAGTACTAATTTTACGGCTATGAACCAATAATTAACGCATCACTCGCCAGTCGTTTGTAAAACACTCGCCAGTTTAGCATGCAGTTGATAATGTGTAGTTTCGCAGTGAAGCGGCTCAGGTCCTTGACAACTACGTTTAGATACGAGTACACGCCCTTTTCATAGTGATTATAAAAACATTTCGTTATCAGAGTAACGTTCTTTTTTCTCCAACGCTGCGAAAACTTCCAACTGCGGTACCTGTTCACATATATATAATACATTAACCACGCGGTTACACCAGAAGACCATTAGTAAAGCGAGAAATTTTTAGACGAAGCGAATGGGGAAATGAGATAAATAGTGTGCTTGACTATTAACCCTCACTGTGTTCTGAATAGCTGGGCTACTGCATGTCCTACGTGCGGAACCCTAACGAGAACAACTACCACGGCGTGGAAGCGGTGATGTCGGTGATGTGGCAGATCGTCCCCTCGGTCGACGGGATCTCTTTCAAGGAGATCAAGACCATCCTGCGCCGCGAACAGTGCGACGCCCACCTCCTCCTCACCGCCAACGTCCCCGGCGCCAAGAAGGTCATCGTCCACGGCCCCGATCTCACCCAGATCCCCTCGCAGATCCCCGTCAGCGAGGACACCCAGTTCCAGGAACTCTTAACCGAAGCGCTGGATTTCTTCTCCATTTCCACGAACGACGGGAGAATTATATTCTATGTGACCAGCGCACGGGGAGGGCGCACCATCCCAGTGGGTACGTGCGAGATGTGTACTTCTTCCGAAGGAGCTACTATCCGCAACTGAACCTGATGCGGTCGCCGGGGACGGAGGGCTTCTCCAAGCTGCAGCTGCAGGCCTACCATAATTTGTTTCTGGAGGCACAGAAGGTCTTCCTGGTGCATAGTCTGTTTCTGAGTGCGCAGGAATGCGATGCATGTCAAGTTCCAGGAGTAACCGTTCGGGTCAGAGTATCTGGGGATTGATGTCATGCATAAATACGCCTGGGTTCAGGTAAGATAAGACATCAGTGGTGCTTTTAATAAGGTTTATGATAGAGCGTTAAGAAGTTGTGCTACGAACAACTTCTTAACCGGTTAAGAAGTTGTTCGTAGTATAGTGGCACTGTAAAAGTGGCTCTTCGCTATTAGTTGTCACGTTTATCTAGACCAGCTAAAAATTAAAATTAATGCTGTAGAAAAGAACTTTTGTATGTATATGTAAATTTTTTTTCTAATAGAACTGAAATTTATTTTTGGTTTATGTTAGAACAAAACTTTTAAAACGGTTGCAGCAAGCAATTCAAGAATTTGACTGCGTGCATAAATACAAGCGCCACAGCCGACATTGTGCCGATTTTATAAGTTACATTCCGACAGGTCTGATGTCCCATGCTAGAGTGTCACCTTTGCCGGACATGGGCTGGCTGCTCTGACTCAAAATGAATTAAATTCAGGCGTTTAATTTTTCAATGTTTAAAATATACGAGACATACGTATAGACGAATTACCAATTACGGATATTAACAATTTTTCATATCTCGTTCTTTATTGATGTTCATGTCGCGACATAACAGTCGTAATTTATATCACTACGGCCAAGATTGTGCAATTAAGAATTAAAAAAACAACCGCAATCAGTATTATAATTGACAATTGTGAATGGCTTATTTTGTTGGCCTGGATTTCGTCTTATCATACGGCTGAGAAGTGATTTCGTAGTCTAGTGGCATCGTATCCGAAACGCCTACTCTGGCACGTTGTCACGGCTTGTCTAGTGCCATTCACAGTAAAAATGATGCTTTAACAACCTTTTTTTTAAGAAACACAGAATTTAAAATTGTTGTTGTAATACTGCATTTTGTCTCAATTCTCATTGCAGAAATTATTGAATAAAATCTAAAGATAATTAAAAAGAGCGTTTAACTCAGTACTAAAAAAATTGTCCACGTTACAAGTACAACAGTTTTTCAAAAATACCAAACATGGTTTTGCAGTTGGCCTCCCATCTGCTCTGCAACCTGTCCCGCCCCACCTCGAGGTACAGCTCTCCTACGCCGACATCCAAATGCTCTTGTCCGTGCTGAACGGCGTCCTAGTGCTCCACTGCCAGGACTCGGCGACCCTGCGCCTGTGTCTGGCGACGTGCATCACCCTGGCACAGAACTTGAAGTACCTGTTCGCCTCTACCGGCTTCCTGCTGATCATGCCCACCGTCCTGCGCATGTACGCCGCCCACCAGACCAACCACCTCCTCATCCACACCCTCGAGTTCGCCTGCAGCCAGTTCTTCCTCCTCCACCGCAACCCCTTCCTCCTCCAGATGTTCGGCTCGGCCGCCGGGTTATTGGAGCTGAGTCAGGCCGATACCGGGATTAAACCGCTGAAACGACAGCATATGAAGAAGATCCTCTTCTCGCTGGGACGCTTTGCCCTGCGGCCGTCCAAGGTCGTCCAGACAGCGTTGATTCATTATCCCCTGGGCAGTCTGGATATTCTGGAAAAGGTAAGGCGTGTCACGTGACGGTGTTTGTGATGCTTTGCATAGTTTTGGGCAACGCTAAGGCTGCTTTGGTTTTTCTAAAGTCTGAAAATATGGTGTTATCGTAGTGTAAGGGCCAGACGCTGGTGTTATCGTTTATTGGTTGGAGCAGAATTTAGTGATGGACACAGTTCGCTTCCACTTTGTGTGATGGCAAAAATAATTTTTCGCAAAACAAGATAGCATTAAGTAGTTAGTTAGTTAGAGGTAAATGGAAAACATCGTTGATTTTAGTTGAATAATTGCATAAGTACTTACTAACATTAAGACTGACCATGGCTGTTTCGCTGATATATGTATATTTTAAAATTTCCAAGAAAGGCCTGCAAATTTACGTACAAAATATATGAATTGTGCGCATACGGCCAAAATTCATTTACGTATATTGTGATCCTCATTGCCACCATTTTCCTGTTTCAAGATTGCAGGAAGCAGTGTGAATAGTCAGTATTTGTATCTCAGTAATACTGTCGAAAACTGGAGTGCTGAAACAAACTATCGTAGTGTTGTCGTAGTGTAATGGCGTTAGGCTCAGACTATAATGGCTTTCGAGTGCTTGAATTGAATAATTATTTCTACGGAACCTACAAATTCGATAGAAAAATAGTTTTTCCCACAATACTTTGGTGTTGATTTAATGTAAATAGGTAACTATCGTTAAATAAGTACCAATTAATAGTGACACACTTATTAACGGTAAGACAGACCATGAATATCAAGTTTATGGATACTAATTTTTCAAGCCAGCCAGCAAATTTATACGGGATTGTGCGAATTCGGTCGAAACTCGTTTACGCGTACGTACGTATATTACTGAGATCCAAACTGGTACCTTTTTTGTTTCAAGAATGCAGACAACTATGGTAAACCGTAATACTCGTTTTTCGCCATTACGGTCACGAAACTACGCATGACCGAAACCAATTTATAACGTATTGCCCGTAGGTGGACGGGAAGAAGCCGCTGCAGCCGTTGGACTTTTGCTACCAGACCGATATGGGCAACCTCACCGCGCAGAACATCCTGACCTCGGCGGTATCGAGCTGCATCGCCGTGATCGCCTTCGACAGCGCGGCGAGTTCGCGGGGACGTAGATGCGGCGGACGCTGCTCAACGAGGAGGTGTGGTACGATGAGAAGCCGGCGGATAGGGGCATAGTGCCCGTACTGCCAAGGACGAACTGCAGAAGATCATCTCACTGGCTGGCAGCTTGAAGTCGTTAATATTCTCCTGCGAATCCCTGACCCGCCCCTTGCCGTGCCGGTCCGCTCCCCTGCCGCCCCGGAGGAACGCTCCGTGGTCATGGCGTCGCCGTCGCATGTCGGTCGCGATCACGACGTGGAGGCCAACCGGTACGATTAACCATAAGGACAAAATTTTAAGCCTTTCGGCGTTGAATGAGTACTACCTATAATAATTATGTCTATCGCTTCTCTAAAGACTTTATTTGTTACTTACTTTTTAGCATAGTTGGTTGTCGGCCGAATTAGCTAGATTTGTGTTCTGGTGTTGTCCTCGATTTTATGTTTGGTAATGAAAGGTTAATTTGCGCGAAGTTGTCGTAGTACACTGGCTACTAATGTTGATAATGCGGATGCTGTAGGTGTTGCAAATACTTCTGGAATCTCTAAAGAACATCGGTTAACGTAGCACATGATACTTTTTTATCTTTTAACTACAGCTTTCGATATCGATTTGGTATGACAAGTTTGTTGTTCTGCTTTAGACCGAAGATCATCACGATCCACGAGCCGCCGGAACCGACCAACCAGCAAGCCGAGTTCAGTTACCCGCGCAACCACCTGCTGGCCATCGTTGCCCACTTTTTGACCACGGCCAACCAGCGCATCCGCCACCTGAGCAAATTCCTCGGCGATCTGGCCACCCGTCCGCCCGAACTCTTAGACGCCAAGAGCCACGTGCGACTGGCGTATGTGGCGCACACCCTGCTGAAAGTGGCGCCGTATGATAAGGAGGTGATGGCTTGTGAAGGTCTGGAGCACTACATGCTGGACATCCTGCCCACCGTCGATTTCTCCATCGAAGCCATGATTTCGCTCTGAGGACGTAGCGATGCCTGCAAAGGGGTGTAAGGGCGGGGCGCTCCGCCCTCCTGAGTAGCTATTCGCTGTTTCTGGGGATTTCCACCCCGCACATTGCTGCGCTGTTTTGACGGATCTGCAGCACAGTTGCACTGGCTGCAGAATCCTTCCTTGTTAGTCTGGTGTTGCTGCGCCACGGTGCGCATTAGATTCGGCAATAAAGCCTCATCCGGGTTCACCACTGTTCGCTGTCGAGGATACGCGTGGCGCCCATACGGCCCCGCGTTATAGCAAATTACATAAAAATTTCGTAAACTGTTAAATAAATTGTTGTTAGATTAAATGGGACTTCGCTCTCCAAGTCTTTCTAATTGTGTAACACGGATGCCGCGATCAAATGCCTAACTTTCGTAATTATTAGAGTAAATTCTCAATAAAATTCATTTAAATTCCTCTGAAATCATTTCTAATTGTGTGAACAGGAACGCGGCGGCCAAGATCATCCAGGGCCTGTCGCGCACCTTATGCACCAACAACCTGATGGCGCTGATGCCACAGTTGCGCGCCATCACGGGCACCTGCATCCACCTGACCCTGGGGGAGGCCGCCTCGGGCGACACCGTCCTGGCCTCGCCCATCCCCGTCGGCACCATCTCCACCCTCCCGCCCCTCGTCACCGTCCCTTCCGTCTTCCGCGACGCCACCATCGACCTCACCGCCATCTACCTCCAAGCCGGCCGCGAATACTGCAACCGCGAGCAACTCTGCGCGCAGTTCAGCGACCGCTTCCTGCGCCTGGTCGTCTGCTTCCTCTTCCCCTTCGTCCTGCGCTTAGGGAGCGAGAGCACCGATCTCCCATCCATGCGCATCGAGGACCTCCGCTACATCGTCCGCACCCTCGTGTCACTACTGCACCCGCCCGTGTCCAAGCAGTTAACTTCGAAACAGCTGGCGGTCAACCAGCACATCGTCCGCACCAACAGCAACATGTCCAACCCGCCCAGCATCGTTCCTTCATCACAACAGGTGAGTCGGTTACCAGAGCGGAAGCGGAGTACTTTGACGCGGCAGAAAGCGCAGCATGGAGAACATACTGGGCCGCATCATCATGCCTCCATGCGGAAGGTCAGCAGCTCGGAAGTCCCGAAGCAATGGAGATGGTGCAGCTGACGCGGCCGCCGCGCGAGGATAACGTCGTTCCCAATAACGTCAACAGTAAGGTCATTACGGTGTCGGTGGTGCACACGGCGCGTCCGCCGTCCATTAAAGCCAACGTCCCGATGCGGACGCACAGTGTGGAATCACTAAACGACGACGAAGAAATTTCCCCGCTGAAATGATAGCCGGAATTTTGAGCTCCATGATTCCCTTTAAAAATTAATCGGAATCTTATTGGAATAAAATTTCACGAAAATCTACCATAGTAGAAATTTGACTGGTGATTTATTGGAAAATTATTTTGGAATTTTTGACGCGGTCCATTTCCGGTGCGTTGTTGATACAATGGACCACCGGTGAGCTTTCGTTCCACAACTGGTGATTTGAAACCCGATGCATTCTGTTGGCATGTGTTGCCAAGAAATGATTTTCGGAACTTTGAAGCTCCGTTGGGCTTTTCTTCTCTGCGCTGTCTCTTCTTCTCTCAATTGAACTCTGCTCCAGATTTTGTCGCTTACTGACACTCACACCTTCATCTTTGATTCGTGCTCGTTTTTGTCTTTTCATGGTTTTCTGTGTTTACTTCTGAACGCCGGTGTCGGCGATGTACCGGTTGCCGCTGTTTTCCCCGTACAATAGATTGGTCTTTATGGACTGGCTGATAAGTGTCTGCTCAGTCGGGCTACTTCTCCACTGGAGAAAAAATGGGTTAACCAATTAAGCAATTTAACACCTCGGCCGGCGGTTCGTGTACTTAACCTTGTACCGTCCTTCCAGTTTCCACCGTGTTTTGCTATGTTGACGCTCGCCACTTACTTACACTGAGTACAGAGTACAACATTCTTATGACAACTGGACTGTCCCAAAACAAAATTACTGCTAACACTGTGTAAAAAAACCGATGCTCTTGAAGTATGTGAACTGAAACTGCTTATTCAGCGCTTCCGGGAGGCGAACGACTGTTCAGGTGGAAAAGATGCGAGGGTCACGAGGCCGCTGTGATATTGATTACCAGAAGTGAGAAACACCAGTTCACTGTGCGGCCACATCTGAGGCCTTAATTGCAGAACGTCCCGTACGAAAGGAGAAAAACCCCAAACTAAAAATCACGTTTAGAAACAGAATGGGCAACTGCCGATAAATTTGCACAATAGTCATGCTGCGCTCTTGGTATGCTGGTCAGAAGAGAAAGCCACAACATGACTAACCGCTCAGACAACATTCATCCGCTTTAATACACTGTGTCGCCGGGTAGATTCCAACCTGGTCGGCGTTTAATACCATTACCAAATACCAAGCATGGAAGACGGCGCGCAGGCCATTATGCAGGTGGGTTACCTCGCCAGGAGGAGCAACTGAACTGATAAACTAATCTGCAAAACGCAGCATCACGATTGCGATGCGCAGTGTCCAAATGTTTGGTTTCATTAGCCAAGCCCGAGTATACTAGTCTACTGTAACGTGCTCGTAGATTGCTGCAGAGCCCGCAATGGTGAGGCAGTTGTTAACACGTATGGTCAGCAGAGGCCAACATTTGCCCTGCGGCGCTTCATAGATGTACGGATACTGTCGTCTTCCGCTTGACTACAGATACACATAACATGCAAGTTTAAATCGATCATCTACCAGTAGAGTCTTCAGTCTATTGCACTCCGCAGCTATGTTCTGTATGTACACTGTTCAGCAACTACCATACATTATTATATAATTACAGTATGAAGTTCCCTACGCTGATTTAGCAGCGCAGTGAACTTGACAGACAGACTTAATAATCATTATAATTTTGCAATTCGGTGATAGTAATAATGATTGTTTTAAAAAAAAAATCGTTCGTTATTAAATCTCATGTTTGAAATTCACAAGGCGATTAGAAGTTGGATGATTGCTGCTTTTTATGCTGGCGCGCCAGTAATTCTCATTACGTAAGTCTGTCAGGGTTCTTACAATATATCTTTCACTTTCACTAAGTGTTAAGAAAGAAATATTAATTATTTACAGTTATGCGCCCACATATATAACGGCTGTGGCCTGTAGTAGGCCACTGCGTATTGTGGACCGTGGTTACGGCTTTTGCGCCCTTTCTCCAGATTTTTAGAAATAATTCACACCGAAGAGGCAATGATATTCTATACATTTTAAGCTTCAGTGCGTATCACTCTTAGTCGGTTCCTTAGAATTTAAACGCATTTAAGTCGTATTAAAGCTGTCCGATTTTTTATAACATTTTCCTCCAAACACCAGAAAACTCAGGCCCCAGCTGCATGCCATTTGGACGCGGTGTGCATGCCTTTTGGACGTCGGAGTTTTTATTAAAATCGTTAACTGGACGTATCTACAGATAAATGACCCGTTTTAAACTAATACTGTTCTGTATTTTCTCAGAGGCTTCAGAATAAAATGGTTCAGACGTCAACGCCTCCGTATGAGCGGCTCCTGTTTGATGCGCAGCAAATGAGCTATCAGAATACTGTCGTCGTTCAAAATGCTGGCGACGATGCGTACTGGCTGGGAAATATTCAGAATAGAATATCTCCGGAGACTACGCCCTCATCCATTTCGGATCCATCCAGGTCAAACCAAGCTGGATCCATGCGAGCCGCGTGTGGCCCTTGCCCTTCATCAAGGACCCTGACGAACACGCTTTTCTTCTCGACATGCCGGTATTTGCAGCCCTCCGCGACGAAAACGACGGACCATTTCGCTTCCGTCCGGCCGTTATAACAAATCTGGTTACGGCATGCCAATCCTGCCAGATTATTTACGTTAAAACGGAGATTGGCAAAACGGACAGCGTTTCACTCAAGGCTCGCGAGGAACTGGTGGACAAATGCCAAATCGTAGTCCAGCTTCCGGTCAGCGAGCCACCACTGCTGTCCCGCGTCGATGAGCTGATGTACCGGAAACTCTTCGTACGTACCCTTTAACAAAGCGCAGTGTGTTCTTAGAGACGCCTCCGATCGATCGCGGGTCATCAAGCATTTTCGCGACACGATGAAACGCGATGCGCGATTGTTCGCCTTATCGGATTGCTGTCGATTCCATCTTCGAATCCAACGCGATGGATGCATGTTCGTGGTCATCAGTTTATCGGCAGATTTCGAGACGGCGCAGTGGATGGCTACATCACTGTCGCAGATGCTGCTGACCCATTTAGACACCCAAGCTGACCTGCCGCCGTTTTTCCAAACAGGTCTTAGTGACAATAAAGCGATCCTCTATGAATCAGGTGATTTATGGTTAGTTCGGAGTACAATGTTATGCTGCCTATATGCTGGCAAAAGACCAAGTATTTACGTGCCGGTTTTATTTCAACGAAATTACCGGGACTAGCAGTACCTGGCCTGAACTGGTTTCGTAAAGTGTAAATTAAAGGAGAACAAGCGAACTATGTGGTTGTTTGTATAGCGTTATAGGAGAATTTATAAAGGCTTTCATAAAGTACTGGTACATACAGCTGGTGTATAGTATGGATACTGCTGTAATATTATAATAACTTATACTGCATTACATACTTCTACGGGTCTCAATATACAAATATCTCGTAATAGTATAATTGTCATTCTCTTCTTGTAGACGTACAAGCGGACCAGCTGAGTAAAGGCGCCTCTTTTGATAATCTGCCGCCCATCCTTCTTGGTGAAATTTTTTCTTTTTTAGAGCTGCATTTATGTGCAAAGATTAAAAGGTAATGAGGTTTGTACCGCCTTCTTTGCGTAGTGCGCATCTACCTGGGCACATCCAACCAGATTTAAAAAGACAGCAATAGTATACAGTATGTAGTGCATTAAGACTTCAGCGCTTTCCATGAGGACGCGACGAATGTTGAAGACCTCATTCTTTCATATAATACGAAATTTTAAAGACCTTTTTCTTTCATGTATACGTTCGTAGCGGCGAAAATCGAGCGGGTGATCCCAGTTAATGGTATGGGTCATAGCAACGGTACATACTAGGTATTTTAATGACACTTTTACCACCTAATACCTGTTACCTGTTGACTTCGGTGTTTTCACAGAGTGTGTGCTTTGTGGCAACAACTCTTAAGCAATCGTCGCGCAAGCGAGGACATCAAAGTCTGTTTGGAAATATGTACCAAAGAAACGAAATCCGATAACTTCAATTGCTTCAAAGGAGCGTCTCTTCTGAACCGTACCGTCTGCTCAACGACAAAGAGCCTGACTATACTGAAACCTTTCGCAAACAAATACTTTTTGTGTGATTTGTTGGAAGCCATGCAGATCCAGTTGCCTACATTAATTTTTAAAGATTATTCTATTACCCACCCTGGTAACCCATATGGATATCCTTGGTTGTCAAACCCTGAGGACAAAACGTTTTACGCGAATCATGGTGCGACAATATGGTTATTCTTTTTACCAGAACAGCAGCCAACGCCTCCTGTTGCACAACTGGAAACTGCAGAACATTTTTGGACCAGCTCTGTATCAAATATTTTTTAATCCTTATGTAACGAAGCTCAAACTTCTGCCAGCCCATGAAATCAAGTGGATGGAGAAGGCTCTCACCCCCGAGTCGAGGTTCGATGTGCTCGAGATTGATAAACTCCAAATCACCATCCCGAAGCTGGTTTTAGACTGCAGCCAAAATTTTGAGAGTGTGGCCAGCAAATACATGTGGGCGTTGGACAATAATTTCCCACCTGTTGCGGACGAAGTGTACGTCAAGGTCAAGGCTGTCCATGCGCGCGTTGGGTGCAGACACTCGCTTACCCGCACGAATGGGAAAGCATTCGAGCATTTTTAATAGTGTACGTTTATTTTCAGTTTGATTAATTTAGGGTGCTTAACCATTTGAAACAGCACAACAAAACTATCTGGTGTCAGTATTAACAGTGCAGGGAATGGTATTGTTTCTTCACAGGTTTAGCGGATTTCACGAAGACGGGACAACGAGATCATGGAAAGAGTTCGATCTTAGACTTCTGGACGTGGACAAGCTGAGCAGAATGGCTCTGCTTGGATTCAACGAGATGTTTCACGTGTGATAGCTGTGCTGTAGTATAAATAGCATTGCGTAGTGTTTTCACAAAAAGAGTCAAACGACCACGCTCTAAAGCCGTCAGCCGTTTTTCGTAGTGAAAAGTAGTGACAACGGCCTTGTGTAGGGTAATGTAGCGGCATTAGCATTCGCCTAAATCAGCTGTTCGAAACCAAACTTTTGTTACTGGATGCTGACAGTGAAGGGAACAATTTTAATTAAATCTTAATTACAGTACAGTTGAGTTAACGATGTGAATTAATGCCTTATTAGCAGTAAGTATTTCCTAATAAGGAATTCCGATGATGTAAAAGGAATTCCGATGATGTAACAGCGAGGTCATCCCGGTGTCAGGCGAAGTACCTGCCTACTTTTGAAGCCAACGTTCTGCTATAGATACACAATCTGATGTTTCTAAAGCGCAGATGGAGAGATGTCTCTGCTGAAGTACGAGTAAATATCAATTTGTATAGACTCGTAATCCTTTCTTCAATTAATTGGGCGTTACGGGAATTTAACTGGACAACCGATTGTAATCACTGACGCGCTCTATTCCCGGTGTAACGTTTGTGTAACAACGGGAGTAAGTATTCCGGACCTTCGTTCTGCAACTAGTGATTTTTATTCATTTAGCTTCATGCAGTCCTTTTTTTCTCGACGCCGGTGAATCGACGGTGTGCCGGTTGCCATTTTTTTCGATATACGTTTAGCGCATACTGGTCTTTATTGATCGGCCGAGATGTGTGTTTGCTCCAGCGAATACTTCTCGACAGGAAAAAGGGAGAGTAAGACAATTAAATAATTAATCATCGCCTCGGCTTGCGGCTCATTCAACCAGGAAATATGGTAACCACAGGCTCGCAGATCAGAGAGAGAGAGAGAGAGAGAGAGAAAATCCCTGATTTGTGGGCGGTTTAGTTCCGCGTTATCTGCGCTCATGAGGATGGCGGACAGGAGTGGTGTGATTAATTATTGACGCACTGTAAAGCGGCACATTCAACGCCGCTTCCGTATCTAGTATCTACAATTTAAGCCGTTCTTTTACAAATCCTCGACGAACTTCCTGTGTTTCTTATCCATCATTCGCCGCCGAGTTTTTCTCCAGTTAATGTAATAAAAAAATATTATCATACCGGCACCTTTGCTTGATAATTTTCCCGGAAGCTGTGGTATTTGATTATCTCCCGAAATACAGTAATTCCATGAAGATGACGAATTATGATTTAATTTGTATTTTTGCGGTGGTTTGTTTCCTAAGCTGTTGTCAACCTATCCTGAGTAATCCGCGTGCCCGGCTTTCCCCTATTCTCCAGCAATTGCAGACGCACAGCGGCTACGCCGCCGCCCCGGCGGATGCGGGCTACAGTGACCTTTTAGTGGAGAACGACGGAGAGGTGCCCTTTCTGGCGCCGCATCTGGATGCTGAACCGGCGCGCTATCTGCAGGAGATGCAGCGGAAACGCGCCGAGGCCAGGCGGCTGGATTTCCGCACACAGGGATGGTAATACGCCGCGGATCATCTTTGTATCATCGCCCGCTGTACAAAATAATCATGGGATTTTTTAAAAATTTATACCGGACCAGTGCTTTTCGAAACACACTTCAACTGCTCGAAAATAATTAATTTGTGTAATAAAACAAAATTTGCGCTTATATGCACTGGGTTGGCATTATACGAGCAGCGAAGGATAGTTTACGTTTTTTTATAATTATTATCATATTACATAAAGCAAAGCGTACCTTGCGCCTCATTGTAGCATCTCTGGATTTGACTGGCGTTTTGTGAAAGGATTTTTCAAACCGATTTGACAAGCCTTTATATACGGTACATATTGGTTTTTCTGCAGAAGATATACGAGTATATGTGACCTTTGTTATAATACCTATCCAAATACATGCCGCAATTTTGCCGTCTCTTCTGATCAAATAAACGATGTTATACTAGATTGATTAAAGTGATGTTATTCATGTGTTTTATGGCGACGCAATATCGATGGTCGCTCTTGTTAATTTCTTTTAATGTGTCTTCGCGCGGTAGCGTGCTTGCTTTTTGGCATCGTTGCTAGCTTTTTCGATGGGATAAAGTTTGTATTAAAAATTCTCCCTCGATTAAACGGCGTCTGTTTTAGAGTACACCAAACTGCCAAATGGACGGGCAAAATAACTGAACGATTTCGATACGATATATCTGTACATACAGAAATACATCGCGTTGCATGTATAATTATATACGCACAATCAGCTTACGTAAACTGTCAATAGACACCAGATTAATGAGAATCCGAATGATTCTACAAAATGCAACTAGATAACGTCTAGAGCAGCTTATATGTTGAGTTATTAAGAATCATTTGCATTGTAAATCACAAAAGTATCGCACGTTATAATATTGTAAATATCCGGTTATAATACACAAATGATTATGTATGGAGCAAAACAGGTCCGCGTTGAATATGTTTATGGAAATGTGCTCTAGTTTCACTACCGTGTTTATTACGAGAGAAGAACAATTACATAGAACCAGGTGACTAAAGGGTACGTGTTCCGTGAAACTGCAGTGTTTCTCCTCGGCGCAGCATGCATTCCAAATGCCTGGGCGAACATTGCACAGCGCCAACTAGAAACCGGCTCGGAAAGGTCCCACTGCGAATGGCGGGATTACAAAAGTATAAAAGCGGGCATGGAGCGTGATCACGGCACACGTTGCTGACGGCTGCTCTCCTTGGTGTCTTGTTGCATGCTACAGTATTAACTGTATAATCAGTTTATTGTTGTTGTAATTATTAGTAAATCTATAATAAAGTTACCATGAAACTGTGTCTTGTCCTGCTAGCGTTGGCCATGGTTTTATTGCGCGGTATGTACGAGTACTTATCACCCTATTTGCAATGCCCTGAATAAGTTTACATTAACTCTATTAGTAATTTATTTTAATTCTAATTTTTGATTGGATGACAAATTAGTAATTACTCTAAATTGCAGTTATAATTATTCAAGAATTTATGCACCATTGCTTGATCAATATTACATAACTCCATTGTATTATACTGTTGATTGCTATATAGTCATCATGTAACGTTTCACAAATTCAGTTTGTTTCAGCACCACAATGTATACAATATACACGTATGTTTTCAATAAACTGTAATTCCGATTAAATTAATGTCATTATAGAGACACCACGATGCTCGGCAGCCGTTGCCGCATCCGGTAAAGCGGCCACATCATCCAGCGATGAGGAAGTGGAGGACGACGACACCGAACAGTCAGCAGCGCCGGCGCCCGCCCCAGCCCCGGCCCCCTCCGCCGGCAAGAAGCCCAGCGCGGACGGCGGCGACGACGATGACAGCGGCGGCTATGGACCGGTAAAGAAGACCCCGGCGCCCACCACGACCACCACTACAACGACAACCACCACGACGACGACCACCACCAAGAAGCCCTCCACGCCCAAGAAGCAGCGCCCGCCCGGCTACGATCTCATCAACACCGAGGTCACCGAAAGCACCTTTAAGCTGACGCGGCCGCCGGCTAAACGCGGCCGGACCGTCTTTGACAGGAGATAAAGGCCACACTGGTGCATTAGTATTACTGTATCGTACCGTGCTATCATTTGCCGTTAGACAGTTTTACATGGCATAAGAACTTTGACCGTCGTAAAGAATTGGAATTCGCCTTCAGTGTAATAAAGAACCGGAAGGAAAGGAAAAATGAATTGAATAACTTAAAAAACTTGAGATTCGTCGTTTTATTTAATCCACATTTCTAATCACTTTCGTAAAACTCACGGTGTTCGTTATTTACCCATACTTTTTGCACATTTAGTGCTTCTGGATATTTTCGTAAAATTGTAAGTGTCCATTTCACTGGCTTAGTGTTAGTCGAATTATACAAAAAGAAATAAAACTATTTTTTGCCGCATTAAACTAATTCAGTTGATGCTCTGGTGTGAAACCGGTGATAGTATCCCTCGTACAGTACATTACTAAATTATACAGAATAATGCGGATGTCGTATTATTTGCATGCTTAATTGGTAAATTTGTCAATAATAAAATTCGCTATGAATTTACTATGAAATGGCAGTCTTGATCTTATATAATCACCACCGTCTGCTTGATCGTTCTACGTATAAGTGGCATGGGGGCCTTCCGGCGCTCAGACATTACTCGTTAAATTAACACGTCTGAATGGCACTGCATTAATGTTTAAGAGAAAATAATTATCTGAACCGCAGCCAGAAAAAAAGCGCTCTATATTCATACAGCGGTTGATTCATATTTTGACACGGCCGTTCAACGCCAGCCAACCGGCATTCGTTCGACCTGGATACACGTAACATTTCCAGGTCAAGTTCCCGCTTTGATGCAGCGTATACTGTGCAGTTTTATACACGGTTATTTAACGCTTTATACAGCGTACATATATATTAGTACGCATACAGTAATTGCGGCAATTATCATCACAATACGGAAACTGCTCAGACTAGAAGCCGCACTACTGTCTACCGTAGTACATACAACACTGCACTTCCGCAGTCTATTGTACAATTATTCACAAAAACACAAATCAGGAAATAGAACTGAAAACGGGGAAACGGAGAAATTTGCGGGAAAGGCAGACAAGCAAACAATTCATGTAAGAAGTTGGCCAACGGGAGAATCCAAACCCGCCCCCGGCAAATGCCGGCAGACAAAAAATCAGTGAAACCTGTCATGGGTATATAAAAATGGTTACTGAAAATCCGCAGAAATCGACAAATTATTTCCCTTTCATTCTATTTGCTTTCTCCATTCTCCGTAGTCCGATACCAAAGCACAACCATGAAGATCTATTTGGCACTTTTTGCTCTGTTCCTCTTCTTTTATACGGTAAGCAGCGAGAATAAATTTGGCCAGTGCTTCGAACAGAAGGTACAGACGCATAAGTAAAGTGTAATTAAAACATTTTAAGCAAGTGCTAATTTTATAACAATTATTAAACGAAAAATTAAATAAGGTAATTAAATTGCTACTATTTATACCAACTTTTGCAAGAGCAGTCCTGAGTACTATGTAATTTAACAATTTTCCGAGTCTTAGCAAAATGCAACGGTTATTTTTCCAACCATAATCTTAGCACACGCTGTTTCCTATACGACGAGCATGGATGATATATATAATTGTTACAGTTTTGCAAAAGGTGGATTCTATTAATTTCGTATGGAAATGTGTAATTGATCTCAAGAACAAGAACGGTTGTTTAGTAAAGAACAATATTTATGTGTTATTTGCAGAAGTTCCTAGTGCCTCCTCGGCCAAATTAAACCCCCGCACCGCCAACCGTCACCCGCACCCAGCTCGCCCGGTCCGTCAAGCCAAGCCTGCCGCGGCGGACGATGAGGACGCCGGTGATGATGAGGAGGAAGCGGACCAGCCGGCCGCTAAACCGGTGTCGTCCAAGTCATCGGCCAAGGCCTCCGGAGCCTCGGTGAAAGTCAGTGGCAAGGCCAGCGCGTCGTCCAGCAGCAGCGATGACGACGGTGCGTCCGGTTACGCAAAACCCACGAAACCAACTACCACCACGACCACCACCACCACGACGAAGAAACGACGCCCGGGCTACGAACTGGAGAACACCGGGGTCACCGAGGCTATCTTCCGGCCTAAGGTGCCCAAGGGACGTACCGCCTTCGACCGGAAGTAAAGAATGAATGAAATATTGTGTTATAACGTTCCTAAATAACCGAACGGAAAATTGTTGATGAATGTGTGTTAAATTGTTAACGTTCCTATACGACAGTTGTTACGTTGATCTTGTTAACGGCCACTTGTCCGTTCAGCAGAAAAAGCGCTATGTACCGATCGTTAAGTGTTTAACGAAGAGAAGCAAAAGAATTTTATGCACATGTACTGGATACGTTAATATTCATGCACGCTTACACAATTCTTTGCCGGTAATCACGCATTACACAATCTCTTGTGTATACACTGCATTAACCGTAGTTGTCGTTGTACGCATAGCAAGGAAGTAAGGGCTGTCGTTACACGGTGCTTATGCTCTTTTGAAAGCGTTTTACACGCTGGACACCCACACTTCCGCGGACCTCTCACAGTGCGCATGCATACAGAGAAAAAGAAGGAAATATAATTATAATAACTGTGCACTTAACTAAGCTTTATTAAAATAAGCGGTAATAACGATTTGGCCAGTGGTTTATCCAGAAACTATATTACTTTTTGCCAGCATATAATGAGGTGCGAGAATCTAAGGTATATATAAAGGTTAAGCCGCGACGTTTAGATATCAGATTAAGCATTTCTGCTCTCTTGTGATTTCTTCTAAAGTTCCTTCCGCTCAACCCTCAACCGCCAACCATGAAGGTGTACCTGGCTCTCTTGGCTCTTGCCCTTTGCGTTTTATACGGTAGGTTCTACATAATAACCGAGCGAAGCAATCTCCTGCCATATACCGGCATAGAAAAATTCACAACACATTTGTGTAATTTTATCGACACATTTTTATTATTTTTTCTAATATTTTTATAGATGTGACTGACTTTTATTTACAGCAGCCTACCGAGTAAATTGATTTTCTATTCTCACCTGGTATTTTTTGTTAATATGATTATTATTACTATCTGTTAATATTTCATGGAAGTTTTATTACTGTTATCGTATTTTTATTGGGTGGCACAAATGAACATTGGTTAAACGCTAAATCAAGCAGTCCCAGTGCATTATTTCAACACATAATATACTTCATCCAGCCTCCTCCCGATGCAGAAGGTTTCCTGAACGCATGCAGCATTACTGTCATTATTCATTCTTATATTTTATTGTAACTATTTGTAATCTGTTGCTTGTTTTACAGATGCCCCGATTACATCCGCTGCTAAACTGAGCTTCGCGCGCTACGCTCGTCAAGCCAAACCCGCCGACGACGAGGACGCCGGTGAGGACGAGCCGGACGACGCGGCCGCCTCCAAGCCGGCCTCCGCCAAGGGCTCCGCGTCCGCCTCGGGATCGGCCTCCTCTTCCGGGTCATCCAGCAGTTCTTCGTCGTCGTCCTCCGGTGGCGATGATGACAGCGCCTCCGGCTACGGACCCAAACCCACCAAACCGACCACCACAACAACGACCACAACGACGACCACCACCACGACGCAGAAGCCGTCCACGAAACGACCCCGCCCCGGCTACGAGCTGATCAACACCGGTGTCACGGAGGCCATCTTCCGGCCCAAGCCGCGCGGCCGCACCGCCTTCGACCGGAAGTGAACGTAGTCGCGATCCATCGTTGTTGGCGTTTGTTAAAGATGTGCTTATTTCTTTATGGGATATAGAAAATTGGTTGGATTATGTAACAAATGGTATTATCAATCGCTGCGCTCAAATTAATTAAAACGGAATTAAATTCTCCGATGTGCCGAAACGGGCAGCGTAATTTATTTGAAACGTAATCGATGCCAAAATATCTTATTAGTACTATTAGTATTTATTTTGGGATTGCTAGAAAATAATCTAAATTTTTGATACGAGATGTGTAATTACAAAATGTAATATTTCGCCTAATCATTCTGTATATGTTAATCAGTTAATTTTATTTCTCAATATGTACAAACCGAGCTTAATTCGCTCAACAATAATAATCAAATGAAGAATTTGTCCCAGTTTACATGAGAAGGGACTGTGCCCAATACATCCATAGCATTACCGCGCATAATCTCCAAACTTAAACGTTGAAACAAAAAACAAGTCGAGCGACTCTCGCCCGTTTTCAAAAACAGTTTCTTACCAATCTCCTTTAATGTATGTCAATTATGTGTACAAGTAGCGGTTTATTCACTTGCTACGGCACTGCTTAAGCCACTGTTCTACCAAATGTGCGTTTTCTAATCGGCGTTGCATCGTTTCTTGCTCGAATTTTCCGTTAAATACGTGTAATTATAATCATTTTGCTTTAATTATACTTTGTTTATCGGACGGAACGTTTCCTGGTTAAGAAAATGCATAGATACACCGAAGGTAAATTTACTTTACATCATTTTCATTACAATAAATTACCAATAATTTGCTGATAATTGTATTAAATACAGCAGCACAATAAGGAATATTTCAAATATCACCAAATGCGCATTGAGTGGCAAAATCGACCAGTACAAAAAAAAGACATCCGGCTGCACTTTTCCCATGCATCCTGCCAGTGATTGATTTTCAGTGGAGTTTCCCACTAACCAGTGCGTAAAAGCACACCTTTCCCCTGCAAGAAAACCACAGGCGATTACATAACGCTGCGCAAAACATCCAGCTGTGCGTATAATAAACATCACACAGAACTTCGATTAGCAATAAAATATTCGTATAAAAAAGGATTTTCGATACTGCGTCAAAACAACGTTCCAAATCGTCGTTTACCTTGATGGGAATCTCGCCGCGCTCTGTACAGGTGAAGCCGCCGATCAGGTCGAGAAGGCGTCGCGTCTCCGGACCGATTTGTATCCGCATCGCTGCCAATTTAACGATTAATCAGATTTTTATTTTTTTTCTTGTGTAATACGTATCGAAATTCAATTGTGCCGGCTTACGCTCGCTACTGGATTCCATACGCGATGCGGTGTTGACCGTATCCCCAAATCTATACGTTGAGTAATAATCTTTTTTATTATAAGGTCATAATATTTCATTATCGGACATCCGTCTCGCTTACAGGCAATAACGCGGCATCTTTTTCCCGACAATACCGGCAACGCAGGGACCTAGTTAACATTCGACACATTTTCGAAAAGCTGCATTTATACTTGTTAATATTGCTGTTATTGAAAAGCAGGTTAATTAAATTACAAATATCTTGGCAATTTAAAAAATTAAATAAGTCGCTAACCCGAATTGATGCCCACGCGAATCTGTACATTCTCCGACGGCAAGTGCGGCACCACAAACTTGGCAATACCGGCCACCACCTCCAACGCCATCCCGCAGATCTGGCTGACGTGCTTGTTACCGTTACGAATTGGCAAGCCTGATGCCACCTAGGTATGAGGGAATAAAAAGAGTTGGCGGGTTACGAAGAAGATAAATTGTGATAATAAGATGCTAGTGTTAATAGGAAGTTTGCTGCTGATAACACAGGGTTGACAATTATTAACCGGAAGCGCAAGAACAGAAACACGTATTTTTTTACAACAGTTCTTTTTTGTACAATATAAGGTAAACGTACCATGTAGGCATCGCCGATAGTCTCCACCTTGTAGACATCGTGCCGCATCAGCACCTCATCGAAGAAGGTGTAGAGCTTATTGAGCAGCTCGATGACGTCGAGCGGGGTGCCCTTGGAGGAGATGGTGGTGAAGCCGACAATGTCGCTGAAGAACACCGTCACGCTGTCGAAGGCTTCCGGCTCCACGGTCAGACCCTTCGTTAGAGCCGCCGCTACCGGTCTGCAAAGTACAATATTTAATACACTGCACAATTCATTGTTCTTAGTAAGAAGAATATTTCTGTTTCGATTGTTAACTGAACCAGGATAATATTTCTAAAGGTACCTACGTCACATTACTACAAAATACAGATGTAAAGTATTTATTGTCAACTTGTACAAGCCAATGCCATTTACATTCAAACTTTAAAAACCCCAATAATTAGAACAAGTAAAATAACTCTTCTAACTCTCGAGAACACCCGACCGTCCCCAGGACAGAAGCCGCGTTTCCGCGCTGAATTTCCACACTTATACGTTGCCATAAATACTGAACAGCGCGCGCTTCTCCTGTTTGTTCTTTGATACGCTCTTTGATCCCTTGGAGAAATGGCCTCCCTCCCTCTGATATGGGATGTGTGACAGTTTGTGACACATTCGCTTCTTCGTATATAGCTGGCTGTTCAGAAGCAGCGGGATCGGCTGCTGAAGACGCGGAAGTGCGGAAGCGAAACCTCTATTCCGAACTCACTGTTCGGCATTTTTTCCAGCCAGTGGCTCTCGAAACTGTGGGAAGTTGTGGCGAAAGTACTCGCCAGTTCATCAATGAAGTCGCCCGGCGTATCAAATACAGATGTTTATTCTTCTCTCACGGAAACACCACTAGGTATCGGCTATATATACTGCTTTACGCATAACGTAAGTATCCAAAATATGTGATTATAAAGGCAGCATATAATTGTGCCGTATTTATGGAAAGTCTGACTATCGGTGATAATTCTGCGAGTCAAATGCTGATTACTTATTTGAAAAATAATACTATTAATTATTTTGAAGTGGCGAAAAAAGCATACTTTGGAAGCAGTTCGCCCAGCAGCTGCTCGGACCGCATCTTCTCATCCATAAACTGCTGCGTTTGCTCGGCCACCTTCTGCTCCAGATCACTAGCATACTGCTCCATCCGCTTAAACAGCGAATCAATAACGTTATCCCCGATGTTGCCCATGATCTTCAGCAGACGCTCTTTGACTTTCTGGAAGGTCGGCCGTTCCAACGGCACCTCCTCCCAACACCGCTCCATCAAATCATACAGTTCGTTAGAGCAGGACGACCGGGGAACGCGCGGACGGACCGGGGGAATATTAGCGGCGATGACCTTTTTAGTTAAAAATCACCTAATAAACATTCAGTTCTTAAATGTTCAAATAAAAAGCGAATTTACTTCTAAGACGATTTCCCGAGGGGAAAGGTCCAGTGGGTCATCGGGAAGCTCAAAGGGGGCGCTGCGGAGGATGATCTGCTGGAGGATGATGGCAAAACTGTATACGTCGCCTTTCTATAAAGGTTGGATAGTGTAATTTCGAATGATCACATTGTGGCGTGATTTTCGCTGCTCACTTGTGTGCCTTTGACCGGCATCACTTGGCGCAGTAATTCGGGGGCGCGCCACATCAGCGCCTCCCAGTCCCGCTCGTAATCGTTGGCTTTGGGCGGGATGAGATCCTCCTTCTTGCGGAAGAACGCCAGACCGTAATCGGCGATTTTCAGCGTGAAACGATTATCCAGCTGGCACGTATTGGAGCTGAGATTGCCGTGTGAGGCGATGGGTGTGGAGTGCAGGTAGGTCATTCCCTAGAGAGATGGGTGAGGGGGTATTTATGAAGTTTTGACTTCATAACCGATTCATCAATAATCAATAAAATATTAGTACCGAAGCGGGTAGTGATCATCGTTTTACAGCTTGAAGCTAGAATTATTTATGCGCGGTAACGTCTGCCTCCACATTATGCTTATACACTCCCAATGAGAATGGAATAAATTATTATACATTATGGAAATTTTATTTCATGCGTTTTATATTTTTAACTTAATAATTTACTGTGATAAATGATGCTGCGCCTTACCGACACTAAATCCCGGATAATGAGATTTTTAAAGAACCAGTCCAGTTTAATTACGGGACTTTCCAGGACATTCGTCAACGTCCCCTTTGAGCAAATTTCCCCGACGACGTACTGGCACACATTATCGGGGCTGAGCGCCACGCCGATAAAGTGCTGAAGATTGGCGTTGTCCGTCTTTTTGATCTGTAGATCTTCCAGTTATTAACCCCCGTTCAAAAGTAACGCGCCATACAGGTTTACCAGTTTCAACTCGTCGGTCAACTCGCGGTTGGGCGTCAACTTGCGATCCGTTACGTCGATCAGTCCGACCATGGTGCCGTTGTACAGGGCGAAAAGGTCGCACATGTAGGCTGAATAGTGAGTTGACTGTTTGCTGGCGCCGGTGTTCTGGCTTCTCTACAACCGTACAAAAAACGGTCGACTACAAAAAGCGCTATGTATGTGCAACTAACTAAAAAATCTTTCCTAAAATTATTTTATTTTTACAAAATTTGAAAATTGATGCTACGGTGATTGATTTACCAGGGTTTTCTTGGAGCTACTGGCCGCTCGCGGACTCTTAATATCCAGCTCCTCCACCATGATCTTCCACCAGTTGGGATTAAAATCCAACCGTGATTGCCTGTATATAATCATTCCATATAGAATAATAAACGTTCAGCTTTGATGCCGATAACATTACTGTGTAGTATTTTGTATACCAGAACTGGAGAAAGACGTAGGCGCCCACGGATACCAGAACGGCAAGGAAGATGAGCGGCAATCCGACCACCAGGCCGATGGTCGTTGGGGATAGTCCCGTCTGCAGGCACTTGTCGTTGCGGAAGCCACACACCGGCTCATCCGGTGGCAGTTCATCGCGGTTGGCGCGATTGGGCCAGGAGTAGTTGTACAGGCGCCGGTATGTCACGTTGCTGTGCGGTCGAAATTGCAGGACCACCTGCAACATTCAAACGTATAGGATACCGCGCTCGCTATACGAGAGCGCCAATCACTACAACTTTTCTTTCTTCAGTATTTTCCGTGCACATTTGTACTGCATATCCTACTGATATCAAAATCCCAACATGACAGGACAATAATTAATTGTCACCGTGTTATCTTCTTTTCCTACTTCATACTTCAAAGTTTGAATTTAACAGGTTTAGTTACCGCCATCTACATATAAACAGTATTTAAGAGTATTTAAACAAATATACGTAGTACTCTTCCAGAGGTATTTTCAGGTATTTTGTATTACTTTATTTGAGGTATTTTGTAAGACAGACTACTGCCGAAAATTTCACGGTGCATTTGTGCTTGACCTGTTTTTATGAACTCGTTTAAGCAATGTAGTTATTTAACGTATTTTGACAGGCACAGGTGAGCGCCTGTAACAGTAAAAAAAACAACAGAAAATTGCATACTCGCTCTCATTTCTTAGTAATAATTTTAAATACGGAAAAAGAATATAAAGCACCCTCAATTTATGCTATGGCAGAGCATCTTCCACGTTGGTTTCTTACTTCAACTTTCTTTGCTTTGCAAGCCATTGTACTACCAAATCATATGCCATATCATTCTGACAAATACGGCAGATACACGGTCTTATCAAAATATGCGTCGTTCTTTCTGATTTCAAATATTTCAGTGCTGTTTTAATATATTTTGGATTTCGTATCAAATTTTTGTAATTTATATAACTACATAACTGATAATATGTGCCTTCATAATATTCCGCTGACAAATAAGTACCTTATACGTACTCTTCTTGCCCGGTTTTTATTAAATCCATGCAGCATTACTGTTTTGTAGATCAAGTTGCTGAAAAACTTTTGAAGCGGGTATGATATCCGTAAACGATTCGCAATAAATTAACTTGTTCTGATGGTGGCATAATATGAGATCGTATATGAACGATCACATTTAGCACTCGTACTAAAAAGAAATTCAATAGTACAAGAGAAATGCAGCGCCGGTAAAGTACTGGCGCATATGCATATGCGGTAGACATTTGGTAGAACAGTGGTTTGCGCTGGCGCATACGCAGTGTCTCAAACCGCTTTGCCCCAACACTACGAGTAGTACTCAAAATATGATAATACCATTTATGGAAACATTCACAAACACCAATTTTTTATTTTGATCGTGGAGAATGAGTAGCGCCTGCTCTCGTTGATACTGTAATTATCCGGCTACAAAAAAGCTCAAATCCCAGCGGCATATGTTTGATGGATTTTTTTCAACGCCGTATTAAATGCATGCAGAACATTCGCGATACTGCAGTACTGACACTGATGAATCAGCATAAACTCATCTGCTTGCCTGGTATTTATCGCTTTCCACGTTATAATGCTTGAGCACATAGCCCTTCTCGCGCTGGCGATTGGCCCCAAAGTACATCTTCCCGCCGAGCGGATTGTTGAAGGACGTGTTGGACATGCGCGCCACGATGATGTCGCCGTCGGTGTAGTTGAGCTCCTCGTCCAGCAGATCCTTCAGCACATATGCATACACCATGATGGACTCGTAGTGGTTGCGCAGCTACGTCGATGGTGTCCAGCGGGCCGAAGGTGTAATTGTAATGTTCACGCGCCACCCGCGTGGCGGCCAATTGGAAGGTCTCGTCCTCCGTGCCGCGCGTGCTATCATCCAGCAGCTGCGCCACCAGCAGGCTCTCGTAGGCGGCCGCGGCACTCTGCAGGCAGAGACAATAAAATGTCACACGCGGGATTACGCAATACATGTGAAAGCGCGGTTCTTCAACACTCCTTGCCCTCATTTGGTTTAGTGCGAAAATATTCTTAAATGGCTTTGTTAGCACCAGCTGATCGCAATAAGTACTTGGGCATGCGCAAGTGCGTTCCCTCAACGCTTCTAACCACGTTGCGAAAAGTTATATAATATTTAAGTGTGTACACTCGTATAGTCTATATAACATGTATTTTTACAATAGTGCAGCAATACATAGAGACATCCAAATATTAGGATTTTATGCGAAAGCACTTTCGAGTTTAGATAAATCATTGCTCAGTTAAGGAAAGGTTAAGGAAAGTTCCCGATTTCGGATCTCTATCGAAATTAAGACAAAATTATTTTCACATATTTATATAAGTGCATATATCTGCAATATTACGGCTACTGCAACGTTTAATGGTAGTCATACACGAAGTAGTACATATCTACTGGTACTAGTAATTTACAAAACGCAATAACTCATATACCACCATATTTCCTATATATACTGCTCTAACCTAACGGGAAATGAGTTCCAAATAACTGAATTATAAAGTATATACGCAGCACAATGTGGCTCTGGTATTTCTTTGTTCTCTGTAGTTATCTGCAAAGTGTAGACCTATTTACCGCATCGTTATTATCGCCGATCGTGGGATCCACTCGACCCCAGTACTCCGGCAGATCGAACAGTTCCGCTGCTATAAACACCTGCCGACAAAAGCACTTCTTCAAGGAACGTTTGATCGATGTTCTGCCGTATATTTTTCCCGCATATAATCGAAGTAATCGTTACGTTACGGAAACCAAGGAAATCTTACATGTTCGCCTTTCGTGTATCCCAGACTATGAGCAACCAACTGAAAATATCAACACAGCTGTATCAAATGTAAAAATACTTTTCTGTAGTAAAGCATCGTACCATTACGTTCCGGACGCAATCCGCATGTCCCAGGATCAGAATCACTGTAAACAGTCGCACTCATTATACCGAAAGGTCAAGGTAAACTTAACCTTCATAACATAATCTTATTGATCTATGCGTTCAGAGATTGTCACTGCGCCCCGGAAATTCCCCCTATCGATCATACTTCGAGATCGTTCATTGGCGCTCTCCAGAATCTGTTTGTACGTGTCGCGCGTGGCCCGCTGACTGCGCACGGACACGATATTCGTGTTACGGAACATGATGAAATTGGCGTCGCGCATCGTACGCGAAAAACTGTCCACCAGGTTGGCGAAGAAAGTGAAGGATTCATCGCGAATTATAGTAAGATGGGAGAACTTGCGGAAGACCAGCAGATCAATGAGGAAGCGTGAGAAATCCGTGAAGCTGAAGGTGGGCTGAATGAGCAGCGGGAAGGTGGAGGGGTTGCTCTCCGCTTGCAGGTAGGTCACGCCGGCACCCGGGATGCACATCATGGCGATGTCCAGGGCTTCGGCGAAGCCGTACAGCGCCACGGTGGTGTACGGACAACCTGTACAAACGTACATGCCGAATTTAGAATAATCGTTTGCCCCGCGATAGAATACTATGATTTCCTATGATTTACACCTTAATTTCCTGCTAATAAATAATTGGACAGTTCAATCAAAACTACTGTAATACATTATACAAACAACTGCAATGTACAATTACACTGTACAATTACATTGTACGTTGCACGTGTCTGCATAATGTACAAGAATAGGCGCACTATCCTATATGTAAATAATAACTGTGGACGTTTTGGAAGATGAGCATCCTTAATTCGTACAAATGATTAAATACAGGTATTGTACAAAATTAATTGTATTTTAATTTCACACATGAAATTATTCTATTTGACGAAATTATGATATGAAATTCGCAGCTCTGCAGCTGTCGCTTAAATTTGCACTGGTGCAACAGTTTTAACTGATTTCTTGAAGATCTGTTTTCGTGCTTATGGCTAACATAGCGCAATCTTTCGAATAGCTGTGATACACTAATAACTGCGATCTTTCGAATAGCTGTGATACATTAATATATTATTCACTATTATTACAATAATTTTGAGCACTAACGTGAGGGAACAAAACCAGTTTTAGATTTTACTCCACACTACATCTTTCAAAACAAAAATAATGCTTGAAAGGTTTCACTGCTGAATGCTGACGACGCCGTCGCATCAGTGTGTTTGTCTAACTTTTATCCTGCCACTCCTAGTTTCCGCAGTTTTTCTTGCAACAAAAAGGCCTATCGCATACCGGTAATAAATTATTAAAAACTTCCTTTCGAGCATTATTAAGATGAATATACTGTATATCCGGAAAACGTCCGGAAATGTATGAGGTGCATCCTAATGGATATACCACACCTACTTTTGTTGTGCATATCTGTACGTGGAAGATTATAAATTTATAACACACCATGCAAACTCAGAATGTGCGGATAAAAAAAAGCTTAAAAGGCGGCGACATGTGCGTGGTGTTAAAAACCTTTAGCTTACGTCACCCGCTCCCACTTGCGCATTCGTTTTACATAACTCAACTGCTTCGTTGCGAAAACAGTATTACAGTTTTTTTCTGTTCAAATATTTATTTTCCACAAATATGTTTGAAAATCCTCTATTGCAGATAATTCCGTTTCCGAACCGGAAACATGTGCTAAGTTGATAATAGATCAATAATAATTATTGGTTCTGTTTTCGAAAACGCACGTACAATAACGCAGCATAAGCAATTAATTATCCATTCCAAAGTCAAATAATATCGACACTTACTGGCGCCGATAATGAGGTGGCACGTTTCCCCGGCCTGCAGCAGTCCGTACATGGCCGTCACGGCGGCGCTCTGGCTCTTAATACAGGCCGGTCCCGCATTCCGGTACACTTTCTGCAGCGTAATCTGATCATTGAGGACGTAGTTGTTGGCGTGATAGATCCCCAAATCCACAAAGGCCGCCACCCGTTCATATTTCGAATAGTACGAATCACTTTCCCATAAATAACACACCGTGAGATTCCGCGGTAATCCCGGTAGCATGCCCTCCACAATGACCATCACCTGCACCACCACCAGAAAAAGAACCGCGCGCATCTTGCCGTACACATCGCCCAGCGATTGTCGGTCATTTCTGGGCATGGATGGCTGGCAAAAACGAGCGCGGAAATTTTACGGAAAACGCGCTGCACAGCACACCGCTTCGTGACGGCAACAAAAGAGCAGCATCTCGTTAACACACGGTATAAGTGGCAAGGATAAAGAGCGGCAGCGTATTAACCGATGCGAAAATATCCCGGCATTGTCTTTCCCTGCGAGTCAAGACGCCGCTGTAACCTTTTGAGCGACTCCACACCTGCGATCCATACACGGCGTATTTCTCCCGCAGACCGTTGTAAAAAGAATCGATAGCTGTGCGATCGATCGAGGGATGCCGATGGATGTTTAAACAGGTGCACCAACCGGGCTTCTCAATTACCTCCGCATCGTGGGCTTGTTGATTAAAAGTTTGTACAAGTGTCGGCGTATTTTTGTGCTTGTGTAATAGAGTGCAATAAACGCCATTTATACGCGTATTCTCTTCATAATATTCCCATATTGAAATTATTGATCGAAGTAGCTTATGTTGCGCTGTACGTACAATGAATGTATTGATTGTAAATATAATGTGACCTTTTCCCGCCAACACAATATGTCCTACACGTGACGCTGCGATATACAAAACACCCACCGCGTGATTGCTCGTTGGCGGCTTGCAGCACCATCCGGTAGATGTCCATTGTGCTCAGCCGGCTGCGCACCGACTGCACCTCCGTCTTCATGAAAATACTGTAGTTGATGTCGCGCAGCGCCTTGATAAAGCTCAGGAGAAATCCATGAAGAAGCTGTAGGAGTCGTCGCGGATGACGGTGAGGTGCTGGAAGCCGTTCTGCACGAGGAATTCCACAATGAATTCGGTGAGGTCGGAGAGACTAAAGGCCGGTTGCACCAGGAGCGGGAAATCGTGGGCGGAGGTGTTGGATTGACGGCGGTGACGCCGGCGCCCGGGATGGCCATCAGCGGCGCGTTGATGTAGCGCGCAAAACCGTATAAACACTGACGGTTCGCGCGCACCCTGTTATGGAAAAAAAGCCGGTTTTCTTTAATTTCTTACGAATCCTGACGAGAGAAAAAGTTAGTTTGTTATCTTAGGTATTTAATGTCGGTTTGCTTAAATTATGGGCTTACGTTTCCTAATTGGATACGAAGCTAGTTGGTTTATTTATCTTGGGTATTTGAAGTCAAATAATGCCGGTTCTTTGATCAGGTTTTTAAAATTTTTTTCGAATCAAAAGCACAATTTTCGCAAACTTCTTCAGTTTTTTTTTAATTTGAAAAAGACGGTTTTATTTTATTCTTTGAAAAAGACAGGTTTTCTGATTGGAAAAAAATCGGTTATCGTTGGAACGTTGCGTTTTTATGGGAAAGCCGATCTTCTTAGGTTTTAAAATAAAAACAGTCGGTTTTCTTAGGCTATGCAATTCCTTAATTTCTCGACAATGTTGACGCGAACTGAGCAAAGTTCTAACTGAACCGGCTAATTTTAGCAAGAAGAACACACAACACCCAGCAAAGACATTATTCCACCGGAAATTAGATGATAGAATCCGACACCGTGCCTACGCAAACAGTCTTCTACCCGTTCCGATAATTAGATTGCAAGATTCCCCCCATTCCAGCAGATCGTACACTCGATGCACGGCGGTACTCTGGCCCCGGGTGCACGATGGTCCGAGGATGCGCCACACTCTCCGCAAATTAACATTATACCCTCGCAAGCGATTATTGGCATGCTGGATACCCAAGTCAAGAAACGGCGCCGTGCGATTAAACGGCGCATAATACGAATCGGATTCCCACAAGTAACACACGGATAATGTTACGCCGTGGATCGGCCGCCGAATAAGCAGGATGGTACCGAGCAGCAATCGCAGCATAATGGATGTAATTAGCGATTGGTAATGTACCGCTAAAAAGAGACGCGGATCGACTGCATTCAGGATTAATCATGGGAATGACGAGTTGGTCGGATAAGGCTAATATCGATCGATAATATGTTGTGTCGCTGGGTGTTAGATGGGATGCGGGGCTTTTTTTGGATTGCAGACGGTAATAGGTGTACACATATGAGCAGAAGTGTCCTGTCTCAGATGACAATGTTGGATTAGATGAAATGGATGTACACTGTCGCGTCCAGCGTTGTACAGAATAATTCTTGGGAAAAGCGGAAAAATCTACCGGGATTATTGGTGCTATGGAGGAAAAAGTATTCTGCTTAAATGTGTTCCGGGTTGCGTTATTTCCGACAAATTCTTGTACAACTCCTCAACACATGTTCGCTTTACACAAGCCCATTAATTACTGATGAGAGGCTTCACCATAACTGTTTTCTTTGCTTAAATATTGTTGGTTTTATAGAACAATCCGGTATCTGTATCCAGAAGACTTTTTTAATTATAATAAAGTAGAGATCGCACATGGCAAAATTCAGTTGCTGGTAATTACCTGCACCTACAGGTGATCATTATGAAGGTAATTTGCGACCTTGACGAAACGTATCCCTTTTTTTGCCCTTGAAATGTCATTTTTACAATCACAGTTATAGATAATTTATTTTTATATGAACCTCGTAAAAGCCTGTTATGTATCTGGCTACGGCCGTTTGGCCGACTTTTTACCATTCAAGGTCTATTACACCCTTCCTGCCACGAATTTGCGCAAAGGGCTTTTACGTGGACACTTGCAAAAAGTAATAAAAACGATTAAGTTGAAATTAATAATTAAGTAAATTGCCGAATGGGCACGAACACCCGCATTACCATTACGTTTATAGCGAAAGGTTTCCACTTCAAGTGCGAACAGACGCTGCTGATTGTTTCCGGTGTGCTAACGATACGGACTAAGCCGACACCTGGTTTCGCTGAAAACTTTTGGCATCATTCCAGCAAAAACGTTTAAATGCAACCGTTAAATTTTCTGTGAAATATAATATCCGTTTAATTTTTATGTATCAATGGTAAAAAATCAATAGCCAATCCTTGTTCGTTTGTGGCCAGTACTTCAAAGGTCAGGTGGTATCGTAAAATTGTGACCGGGCAAAATTCATGGCTCTTATCGCTTTTATTTGAATCTAGAAAAGTGGGACAAAATTACATACGGAATATGTTACGATTATTTAGCTTTTTCAGTGAGAATCCCTCGAGGCACTGAGTGTAGACCGTGGTGTGTTTTCTGCACGCTAAGCGCCTGGAACGCAAGCATTGCGACAAGCGTACACAATCCCGTAAAAACACGTCTCGCTACTACTTAACGGGATTAATCAAATTCCCTCTCAATGCGGTTCACACGATACCGGCACTTTATTTGTGTAAAGTGCTCTTAACCGGCGGTGTCGAGTAACGGCGCCGACGGGTAGCCAGTTATTTGACTTTATCCGTCGTTATTGACGGATTTTGAATAATTCAACCGATGGAAATCTACACAAGAATATGGTCTACACGCTAATGTTTTTCCCGCGTCTGACGGACTAATTGCCGAAATAGATAAATCAATTTATGGATACACATCGGGACTGTCAACCTCACGCAATCAACGGATTATGAAGTGATGGAAAAAATGCCCTTCGTTGTGATTAATGATTCAGGTGCGAGGGTGCACACGGTGTGTTTCTTTCGGCCAAAATGTGGTATTTTTTATTGGTGTATCTGTCCTTTGCGTTGGCCAGCGAGGATCTGAAGATAACGTATCTGAATCGGACCGAGGTATTTTTATCCGACCACAGCGTTTTAAACGCGACGTATGGCGTGGTGGTTAACAGTACGACAGCGGCACCGGAGAAGGCTAAAGAGACGGTTAATTATAACCGTACCAGGACGTTTCTCAACATCTGTTTTCTGTGGGAAACGGACTCCTACTATTCATCGTATAATCGGGTGGCGCCGTTCGTTGAGCTGGGGATTGAAGAGGGAAATAAGATTCTGAAGAAGTACAACATCGAGATGCGACAGTTTTATCAGAGCACGGGTCCATCGTGCACCAGTGGACAGCAGATTGCCATACGGAATTTCTATAATCTCCTTAATTCCGGCGTCAAATGCCAGATTATGATCGGCATTAGTAAGAATAATCTGTCTGGTCTGTTATGCTGTTAAACATACACTAATTTTTGATTTATTTCCAGGATTTCTTTCCACAAGAACAACCTTTTTTAATAAAGTAAAAATTTTCTATTAAAATTGTGACATTATTTAAGACAAAAAATAAGTACAAGAAAAAAAAAGAAAAACTAAAACAGATAAAAGATAAACTATGTGAAATTCAGAAACAAGATTTGTTTTAAATTTCGCTGATGCGCACAGGTTGTCCGCACTCGGTGACGGCTCTGTACGGATTCGCCCACTACTTGAACATCCCGCTCTTGGCGATTCCCGGTGCCGGCGCCACATCCGTCCAACCGGATGGTTCCTCCAGTTTCTTCCCACTCTTCGTCCAACCGACGTGGAGCTCGACGGATCTCTGCACCTTCATGATACGCTTCCTAACGGTCTACAACCTCACACAGATCACCGTCATCCAGGATGATTCCTACAATTTTTACGTCAATCTGGCCATCAGTTTCTCTAAGACGGTGAAGAACCTCAACTACCCGATTTATGCCAGCATGATCATCGAGCCGGTGAAGGCGCTGGACACGGATCAGGCCACGTACAAGAAAATCCTCACAGCCCATACCGAACGATCACGAGGTCCATCAAACTTTCGAATTATTTTGCTGTTTTGTGCCCTTTCTAATGCATCGTCATCCATAAGCAACACGTCATATATGTAGATAAATTTTTTGTTATTGATTTTTGAAGTAAATTTTGTGGGGTTTCACGTAAGATGAAATTCGCTAGAAGAACCTTGCTTGACAAAACGCTGTCTATTTCTGTAGTTATGCTGATTCTCGGACACGCGTTATGTGTCAGGAACATCATGGTAAATACGTGCACGCCCAGTTTGTAGATATCATGTCATCAGTACAAATTCCCAACACATCTGTTTGAAACTGCAAGGTTCCCTGACAAAACTGTTTGCTTCCAGATCGCCGCTGCGGAACTGGGCTATACCCAAGGAGAACACGTAAGACTTCATTCCCGCAATCAATGTGTAACACAACAAACGTGAAAATGTTTTGTACAGATTTATATCGCTGTCGAGCTGTTCGAGCTGAAAGCGTATTGGGGCACTAACGATCCGGAAGCGGTGGATGCACCGGCTGGCGACCATTCCGACCTGGTAGGCATATTGCAGATTTCCATCAACTGCATTGCTGGGTAGTACAGCTAACAGGGCAATCAATAGATGCAAAATCGTTGATTTAATTTATATCAATAAACCCAATAAGAAACTGATCAATGACAGGTCTTCATGCATTGGTCGTTGCAGATTGCCATACCGGCGTATGAGAGCCTCCTCGTCTTCCAGTTAATGGACGACACCGTGGTCGGTCCGCTGGAAGAGCAGTTTGAACTGCAGGCCACACACTATGCCCGGGTCAAGTATAATTACTCGTTTGGAGCGCTGGAAAAAGTATGTACACTGTCCAACAACGGAATTTTATTTACTAACTACATATAACAATCCACTGTTATACAGTGTACATACAGTACATAAGCATTATCCTAGGCGAATAAATCCTATTTTTTTAAAAATAGTTAAATAGATTCATAAGTCTCTGGAATGTGTCGCAAAATCACATGAGTTCGGCTGCAGATCGACATAATATTGCGGAACCACTACGAGTCTCTGGTCATCTACGCGATGATCATCGATAACCTGATTCAGCACGGCAAGAATCACCTCGATGGGAAACTGGTGACATCGCGCATGTTCATGCATGAGTACGAGGATCCATTGGGCGGGATGTTCTACTTTGGCGATGCCCGGCAGAAGGAGAAAGGCTACATCGCTAAGCATTTCAATGCGCTGGAAGATAAATACGAGGTAGGAATTCTGTTTTACGCTGTAACGTGTTTGGATAACATTACTGTATGTGAAAATGGTTTTGGGGTTGCAGATTGTAGTAACGTGTCCGCCGCACAGCAACTTCACGTTCTACCGCAAACAGAAGTTCAACTGGCCCGGCCGACATACCGATACACTGCCGCCCAATGAGCCGAAATGCGGGTACCGTGGCGAGAAATGCCTAGTGAATCTGTCCACGTCCATGCTGGGCTTCATCGTAGCCATCTGTCTGGTGTTTGGGGCTATCATGGCGGTCGCCGGTGGCGTTATTGCCGTTCGTTTGTGGTACTCACTACACACCGACTAATATATTTTTCTCGCTGATATATTTTTTCTTTATTCTAATTTTACGTAGGAAAACCAAGAAGGAGTCCAATCCGTACTGGTGGCGAATCCCGCTGGACCAGATCGACGTAAAGGCGCATAAAAGCCTCGCACTGTCCAGACGCTCCATGGCAAGACATTGTATTTTAGAAGCTCTGTAAATGCAAGTGCAATACTGAATATTTTTTGCAGAGAAGTTCGATGACACTGGCCACCATGACAACCAGCGCCCAGTTGTCCGCCCAGATGGTTGGACTTTTCGGGCTGTACAATGAGAACATGGTCGGACTGATTGATGTGGCCGATCACCGGCTCCAGCCCAACAAAGACTTGGTGGATCAATTGCTGACAGTAAATTAATCATTTTCCGACTGCAAAACTCCTGTCGATTGATGCGGTACAATTCTGCGATACAAACAGATCAAGAAAACGGAACACAGCAATCTACAGCGCTTTATCGGCATCGCCCTGGATGACAGCAATACCTGCATATACATCGTGGGCGAGATGTGCGTAAAAGGCAGTCTGACGAATGTCATTGAGAATCCGGTACTGAAATTGGATTGGTTCTTCAAGAACCTCATGATACGCGATCTGGTTAGGGTAAGCAGCTGACCGATACATGGCAAAAACTGAAAAACCGGCTAATACCTGTATAACATGCTGAGTTAATAACCGATACTAAAATTCCTTTTTTGTGCGGCGCAGGGAATGGAGTACCTGCATTCGACGCCCATCACGTCGCACGGTGGCCTGACATCCAACACGTGCTTATTCGATAATCGTTTCACGCTGAAAATCTCCGGTTATGGTCTGTCGTATTTCCGCCGGAAGAAAGATCTACTGCCACCTGATCCAACGGATTATGAGCGGGACTGGGATCACCTGTTGTGGCGGGCGCCGGAACTGTTACGACAGCCTATGCCGCCGAAGGGCACACCGGTACATTGCTGCGTATTACGGAGATAATGCGTCGCTTATGATGTGCACTCGGATAAATTAATCTTCCAGATAATTTTTAATACAGTGGTTTGTTTATGTGTACCGCCCTAGAGAGGCGATGTGTACAGCTTTGCCATCATCCTCCAGCAAATTATTCTGCGTTCCGGCCCTTACGAAATGCCGGACGACTTTAACTCGGAAATGGAATCGCCGCGGGAAATTGTTATGGAGGTACTTATCGAAGATGCTTGCGTGAAGTGTAGTTGTGAATTAGCATGTTTCGGTCTCGTAAACATGTAACATGTGGCCAATCCTAACCGTTGCCAGGGTAGACTAATGCTTAAATACGCAGGTATTGGAAGCATCGCCACCTCTGCAGCGGCCACGCGTGCCGCGCTCGGCCTGCTCCAACGAGCTGTACGATTTGATGGAGCGTTGCTGGGAGGAAATTCCGCTCGAGCGACCGACCTTCGCCAAAATCAAAGAACGGCTGGGGAAGGTGTTTGGTGATATCGGGGATAACGTCATTGATTCGCTGTTTAAGCGGATGGAACAATACGCCGCGGATCTGGAGAAGAAAGTGGCGGAACAAACAGCGGCGTTTGTGGATGAAAAGCAGAGGACCGATCAACTGCTCGGAGAAATCTTGCCCAAGTACTTCAAACAACGGAACAGTTGGCCGTTGCACTCATATCTTAAAATTTTTGATTTTTTTTCAATTTTCAAGACACTAGTTAGACGAATCAGTTGGTATGGTTTTATTTGGGTTTTGGTTAGATCTGTTGCGGCAGCATTGACAAAAGGATTAATGGTCGGACCGGAAGCGTTCGACAGCGTTACCATCTACTTTAGTGACATCCCCGAGTTTGGGAATTTGTCTTCCAAGGGAACGCCGTTCAACGTCATCGATCTCCTGAACAGTCTGTACGAGTTCATCGATGGTATTCTGATGCGGTACGATGTGTACAAAGTGGAGACAGTTCAGGATGCCTTTCTGGTAAACGTTGCAGCTTTTCCTTGTACAATCAAAACGACGCCACTACGGACTTCCGATACTGTTCTACATCCATAGGTGTCTTCCGGGTTGCCGATGCGCAACGGCAACAAACATGTGGTGGAAATCTGTGCCATGGCGTTGGATGTGATTAACGGTGCACAAGCCTTTGCCGTGCCGCATTTGCCTGACGAGCGAATCGGTGTCCGCATCGGCATCAATTCTGGTAAAAACGAGACATCCAACCGACATTTTTCAATCGATACCGGGCGCTACAAGGTCGACTTTACAGGGCCCTGCGTGACGGGAATTGTTGGAAAAAAGATGCCACGATACTGCTTGTACGGGATCTAACTTTTACATTAGTTTATATGGAAGTGAGTAACGATTTACATGACCCTAACTACAACTGTACGGTACAGGTTCGGTGATACGGTTAACACAGCTTCCCGAATGGAATCAACGGGCGATGGTACCAGACCAATGTACTTTATATGCAGCATTTACTACCGCCGCATGCACTTTACAGTGATGAAAATACAGTTCAGCCCATCAACGAAACAACTGCTCGACAGTGTCGGCGGGTTCGTCTACGCTGTCCGTGGAGAAATCCCGGTTAAGGTCAGTGATTTGCCGGTGTATTGTGCAAAACTCACCAAATATTTCTGTGCAAGTAATGGCGAATTTGTAATGAAGTCTGTGTTTCTTTTAGGGGAAAGGATTGATGACCACGTACTGGCTACTATCGAAGCGGGCGTGAAACTGTAAAGAAAAAAGCGGTTCACAGATTTTGAAGGGAATATCGCGTCATCCATGTGCAAGATTTTGTGACGCGCCAAGTGTGGTACGCATGTTTTCCAAGCGCGTTTTCGTTTAGGATTTTCCTGGTCAAGCTCACGTCTTGCCATATTATTGAAGGTAGAGGGTTTATAAGGGGGTTACTTTATTTGCTGCTCTGATTGAGTTACCAGCAATGACGCAGTTGCAAAGTGGTCTCCACGGTACCATTAAAAAAATGGGATGCAATGTTCGACGATACCTGTTTCCGTTTCCGTTTCGAACAGTGCGAAACTGCATCGGTTACGTGATGGCAGTGAACAGTGAACAAACAAGCGTTGTATCAAAGAGAGACCGTCATTCTACCGTACAGTATACCTCGTAAAACAGAGGAACACGACTAACGAAGCGATATTGTTAGAGTTCAACAACATGGAGCGGAAATACGCTCTTGACTGCGGTAGCTCAGTGTTATACCAAGTGAATCAGTCATAACGAGAAAAGTTAGCTTTATTTTATTATTTCGTGAAAGTAGCCAGTCACTCGGCAGCTTTCCCGTCGGCTGTACAACATACCGTATATGAGTGTAATGTAATCAGTATAATGGACAGCAACTTGACTAGTACCATGGATAACAAACTGGCTTGTATAGTGGACAACAACAGTCTAACTTATTTAATGAATAACAACTTGACTAGCATCCTGGAAAACACCCTGCCTTTTTTAACGGATAACAACCTGACTTGTTTAACTTATACCAACCTGACCTTTCTGCCTATCTTTATGGATAATGAATCGGGACTCTGGAATTACACCGCAACCGCCAGTGGGGAAGAATCTAATCGAATGCCCAACGCTTGGTGTATTAACGTCTTGGCCGGGATGAATATCCTATTCAATATCTGCATCCTGTCGTTGTTCGCTAAATATCCACAACTCCGCGCAGCTTTTGCTGCCTACGTCATCTGTTTATCCATGTGCAATGTGGTACAAGGAATGGCCGTTTGCTTTATATCCAACTTGCAAGACCTGCTCACACTGTCAGGTGCTGACGTGAATTTCTGCGCCTTCACTTTGTACGTATTTTGGGTCCTCCCCATCCTTCCCATGCAGGCGCACATGCTTATCACCATGAATCGTGTATGGGCACTGGCATTCCCCATCTCCTACCGGAATCGTCATACGAAGCGTTTGGCTATTATTCTCTGTCTGGTCAGTGTGGTGATCGCGCATCTGACCATTCTGCCGATGATCCTGCTGAATCGGTTTCTGTATCCTAACAGTTATGAATATATTTGTGAAATCACGCCCACCGTTGGGTGGCTGAACACTTTACGCCACGATTGTAGATACGCTGGTGAACAATGCGCCGGTGGCTTTCATTATTTTGGTGTATCCGGTCCTGTTCTGGCTGTACAGGCGGAAGGTGAACCGAAAAGAAGAGCTGAAAAAAGCGTCCAGCAACGGAACGGCAAACGACAAAAACAACGGAATTTTACACGCAGGCACCGCCCGTGCTTGTGGGTATCCTTAGCTCCGGGAAACAACAGGTACGATATTCAACAATTTGCAGTATACACTACACTTACGTAAAGAACACAGTACTGTACTGTGTCCAAATATGCACGAAACTATGCTCTATTAATTCATGATGAAAATTTAGCAGAAATATGCCTGTTCGCGGTTTGTTAATACAAAGTATCATGAAGCACTATAGGAAAAAATGTATTCATGACTCTAACAAATTTTGCTTTTGTTAAAGGTGGACAAGAATGAACATAATAATTTTTTAATTTTGTAGGTTCCATATCAGCGACCCGGGACGGAGACAGCAGCCCTCCGCCTCCGCGTGCAGCCATTTATGACCTTTACGGTGCTGACCTGTAGTACTGTTGTATGCTGGACGCCCACCCTGTTACAGACCACCCTGACGCATTTTAACGTAATATCAGAGAATGACCTACTATTCACCGAAATTAGCGGGATACTCGTGTTTCTGCAGCCGGTTTTCGATCCCATACTCTTTACGCTCAGCATGCAGACCGTCCGCAACGCTATTGTTATTCTCTTGGGAAGACTACTTCGACGGTTTCAGTGACCGGAAAGACCAGAGACATTTCCTGGATGGAGAGGTTCCTTACCGCGCCATATCACGCACCGTGCTTTTTTGCAGTCAGACGTTCCAGTCTGTGTTATTTTCATGTTTCTTGTTTTACGAACTGTGTAAATTACGATACCCTCAGAGATTTTTAGATATGCGGGAAGTAATGAGGGTGCATGAGCAAGTTTTACATCAAAACGAACATTCTTATACACGCACATTCTTACTAAGTCCCGTTACTTTGTGAAAATGTTTTGGGTTTCACGTCTGGAACGGTGTAGAAGGGCAGGAGGATCATCGTCGCTACTTTGTGAGCGTGCTGTGAGCTATATCGCTTCGCTGTGACTTACGTTTGATTAACTCGTGCTCGCATGTAGGATAATTATTCGGACGAAATGTATGCACATGATGATGCCATACGTTCAGAAATAGTCATTCTTGAATTGTGTTCTGTCTTGTTATAGTGATTGCTGATGATCGTTTTGGTTCTGCCTCGTGGAATATCGGTAACCAGGCGTACTTTTTGACGTGTCGCGTTTATTACGAAAAGTATGTTACCGCGAAACCGCTTTCTCAAAGGGAAAACAATCCGCTCGGAATGATGGTTCATAAGTTTGACTGCGCTGGTGACGGATGGAAGAGCAAGTCTAAATAAAGGCGCCTCGTTTATGTACGATTCCTGCTTCGTACATCGTTTTTCGGTGACAGCAGAATTATTTATGATCATTAGCACTGGGTGTGGCTTTGACAGCGCTACGTTACTACGTACCTCTTCTGTTGATGTAGAAATAGGGTAGGTTTTTACTAAACAACTACGTAAACATAATTACGTAGTTTCAGTGTGTGTAAACGCACAACATGCACTCAACATTCTAGATTACGGCGTTGTGCTCCTGGGTGAAGCTTGTACAGTATGACCTGCTTATGCATCGGAGTTTCTACTAAAATGGGTAAAATCGAAAAAATATTAACTGACAAGAAACAGAAACAGATTTCTGATAATCTCGATGTGTTTTTAAAAGGAAAAAGAATGTAAAATTATAACCACGTTAACGTATTGGTACTTTTGCAAAGGGCATGAAAACGTTCCAAAGGCACTGGAAAAGCATCGCGTCACCGGTACGTACTCATGATTTTGTGCGACACTGCTTGTGTGTTCTGCATGTATCCCAATCTGATTCCGACAGAGAATGCCTGATTACATTCATGTCTTGCCACTTTATCCAAAATAGACGGTTTTAGTTTTTAAGGGTGCTGGTTTTGGGCGGTTTATTTGTTGCGCTTATTGAGCTTTTATTGGGTTTCCATTTTGCAACTGCATGACGCAGTTGCAAAAGGGCTTTCACGGGATCATTCATAAAAATGCGATGTAGTGTTTAATGATAGTGTCGCTGACTTCCGTTTCGCCCATGGTTTTTTATGCGAAACAGCATCAACCACCTGATGGAAGCTAACAGTTAAACAAATGAATGATGTACTGTAGTGGCTCGCACATCTTGTACCACAGAGTTGGTGTACGGGAAAAATGTGCATCCAATATACACACTCTAACCGGGCAAAATGCACGCCTACGAAATAATGCTTGATTTGACTTCAAGATGAACTCTCCTTCTGAATCTGTCCAGAATCAAACATTTTCTTTAAAATTGTAATTCACCTTAGAAAAGAAGCTCTGTATCTGAGAACTCGAATTGTTCTGTAGCTGTAGAATGTTGACGCTGATTGCTGAACGTACCCCTCACTCTGGGGGCACCCCAAACCACAACAAATCAGTGTTTGAATTCGAGCTGACAGCAAAGATTTAAGTTAATGGCTGCTTTTGAGCATAAATTTAATTAATAATTATTAGAGCTCTAATTTTTTTAATATTCAAGAAGGTTCTCCAGACCAGAAGTTGAGAAACATCAGAAATTTATCAATGCACGCCAACTGGGAATCGTGCGTTTTGCCCGGTTAGAGTGTGTATATTGGATGCACATTTTTCCCGTACACCAACTCTGTGGTACAAGATGTGCGAGCCACTACAGTATCAGTATCCAGTTCCCTTTCTACACCTTGTACAATAAAGTCAGCGACATCGGTAACGGAGCGTTATTGCTAGAGTTCAAGAAACTGGAGCGGAAATATGCTCTTAGTCGCAACAGCGCAGTGTCATAACAAGTGAATCAGACGCTTTACGAGCCAAAGTTAGTTTTCGGATCGCATACGTTTTCAGTCAGTAAAGTGCGCTGTAGATTTCTCGTCGGCTGATAAGCACGCAACATAGAAGAGTATAGAGAACGGATAATAACCTGACTAGTTTAATGGATAACCTGACCTTTCCGCCTAATATTTCGGATATCTTAAACAGCACTGAACCGAGCGAAGAAGAAAATGACGGACAGCCCAACGCATGGTTCATTAATGTCTTCGGCGGCTTGAGCATCCTAGTGAATCTCTTTATCCTGTCGTTGTGCGCTAAATATCCGCAGCTCCGCACGGCTTTCGCCTTATACGTCATCTACTTATCCATCTGCAATGTCGTACAGGGCGCGGCCATCTGTTTCATGTCGGATTTGCAGGGTTTGTTTAAAAAAGTCCGGAGATAATGTAAATTTCTGCGCCTTCGCGTTGTACGTATCTTGGGTCCTCCCCATCCTTCCCATGCTGGCGCATGTCCTTATCACCATCAACCGTCTGTGGGCACTGGCATTTCCCATCTCCTACCGGAACCGCCATAAGAAACGCTTGGCAATCAGTTTGTGCATGGCCAGCATTGTGGCCGCTCATCTGACCATTCTGCCCATGATTCTACTAAATCGGTTCATGTATCCTGGTGAACATGGCAAGTTTTGTGAAATTGCGCCAAGTGTTGGTTGGTTAAGGAAGTACGCCACGCTGGTGGACCTATTGGTGAACAATGCGTCGGTGACGTTCATTATTGTGGTGTACCCGGTCGTGTTCTGGCTGTACGGACGAAAGGAGCGCCGTAAAAGCGAGCTGAAAAGGCGTGCAGCCACGGAACTGCAAACGACGGAATTCCACACGCAGATTGTGCCCGTGTTTATGGCTGCCATTTGCCCCGGCAAACGACAGGTATGCCATCCAACAGTTTGCCATAATACATAAGAGGCTGA